AACAAATGGGTCTACTGCTTACCGTATGCAGCTGTATAACCCAAGCAATTTATCTAACCTTTCTAAACCTTAGATTCCCTATCTACTAAATGGTATAATTACAGGGTCTACCCCATCGGATTGTTGTGATAATTAAACAAGATATGATTGTAAAGCACTTGGCATAAAACCAGGCATACAGATAAACACTTCGTAAGTGTTAAGTGATATACAAGTATTGATGTTTTAGTTAAGGTTCTCTGAGTTGCAAATAACAAAAACGAACTCAAGCTAGATTTCATCTACTTAGTAAGTATCTACTGAACACTTGCTATGTGCTTTATATGGGCCAGGCACTATGCTAGGAACTGGTAAGCAAAAAAAAAAAAAAAGGAATTTTATAACAGAGATACAGAGAAATCACTTACTGTTCCATCCACCGAAAAATTGACTGCTGCTGTTTTATCTCCCTTCAATCTGTTAACTTATTCCAAACTCCTAAAATAGGGACCAGGAGTCCCTCCCTGGCTCAAATGGTTAAGGCTTAACTACTAGCCGAATTAGTGGTTCGAACCCACCCAGAGGCTCCTCAAAAGACAAGCCTGGATTTCTACTTCTGAAAGGTCACAGCCTTGAAAACTCTATGGAGCAGCTCTACTCTGCACACATGGGGTCGCCATGAGTCAGAACCGACTCAGTAGCAACTAACAACAACAGAAGCAAGATAGGGATCAAGTGTCCATCTTCGTCTAAGCAGGGGTCACTTAATGGGGTCACTGGGAATTGAACAAATATTCTAAATGGTATCTCCAATAAGTATTTTGTCCACAGTTTATAAAAGATAAAACTGAGGCTGAGAAGTATGAGTGGCTTTCTCAAGTTCATGTGCACAGATGCAGGGTCAGCACCTTAGAGTGAATTGCCTCCTTAAATTTTATGTTCTAGGTGACTCACTCACCTACCGTAGTCCTAGCTCTGCTAACTCCTAATCAAACTCACTGCCATCCAGCTGATTCTGACTCATAGCGACCCTATAGCAATGAGTAGAATTGCCCCACAGGTTTTCCAAGGCTGTAAATCTTTACAGAAGCAGACTGCCACATCTTTCTCCTGCACAGCAGCTGGTGGGTGCAAACCGCCAACCTTTTGGTTAGCAGCCAAGACCTTAACCACTGCACCACAAGGGCTCCTCTTTAATGCCTAATTCAATTATACATGTTTTTCCTCACTAAAATTTGTCACCTTCACAATTTTCAAAGAAACACAATGTCTCAAAAAACAGTTGCATGGAATTACGTTTTTAAAAAAGTTTTTCAAAAGAGAATAAGCATGTAATTACCTATGCTCTTATTGATCTTGTATATCGTTAAACAATTTGCCTCTCAGAAAATTCCACTGAAAGCAGAAACTTACCTTCCCACTCTGCTGGGATATCCCCTATTTCATAGTCTACTTCTTTTTTCTGTACTACTTCTACAATTCTTCTCTCTTGAACAGTCTGTCCTATAAGACAAAAGTGATTAATATATTTTTAAATGAACCCACAATACAGTAGTTGTTGCAAGTAACATCTTATCCTTTGATATGGCACACTCCACGTATGGTAAAAGAACTACATTAACAGGAAGAAGAATAGGTTCCTTTTAGAATTAGATATGTTAGAAAAGGCAATTTCTAAACTATTGTAGAATGTTTATATTTCCTACAATAGTATGCAAAATTAATTTTGGTAGACTAAATCCTGGTGGTGAAGTGGTTAAGAGCTATGGCGAGCTACAGCTGCTAACCAAAAGGTCAGCAGTCCAAATCCATAAGCCGCTCCTTGGAAACTCTTTGTGGCAGTTCTACTCTGTCCTATAGGGTCACTATAACTCAGAATTGACTCAACAGCAATGGGTACGGGTATGTCCAATAAATACAAGACTCCAAAAGAGCAACCAATTAATCCTATTGGGACTAAGGGCTAATAAAAATCATTTTAATAATCAATCCCTTCAAACAACATAGTATATATTGTTTGTAGTGGTTTGGTGCTGTCGAGTCGATTTTGACTCATAGCGGCCCCATGTGACAGAGTAGAACTGCTTCACATTAGGCTGTAATCTTTACAGAAGTAGATCTCCAGGTCTTCCTCCAGTGGAGCCGCTGGGTGGGTTTGAACCACCACCCTTTCAGTTAGCAGCCAACTGCTTAACTGTTGCACCACCAGGGCTCCTTACAAGTATATATTAGAGGTGCCAATGGCTACTGGCACTGCCTGAGCGAATCGCTACTCACAGCCCCTACTAACTATGCAGTGGGCCACAGATCATGGCACTACCCTACTCTGACAATACACTGGCAAACCCAAGGGACCTAAGCCATGTGTTGGATCCTGCCGCCCATCAAAGTCATAATCTCTCAAGGGAATCTGAATGAACAGGGACAAAACTAGTGTACCTCAGGTATGGGGCTTCAGGTGAGGGTTCATCATCGGGAACGGATGGTGACAATGTAAAAAACATGAAAACAGAGAGATCAGTAAGGAAACAGATGGAGAGGGATCAGGGATGCTATGAGAATGCCTACATTTCTCAATAACAAAAATTTGATCAGCGTATATTTTAAGTTTATATACCAAAAAAAAAACAAAAACAAAACCCAAACCCATTGCCATCGAGTCGACTCTGACTCATAGCGATCCTGTAGTATAAGTTTATACAGAAAGCATAAAACTATTTGGTATTTTCTTCTGTTTTTAGAAAGTTTTGATTATATCCTCAAAACAGCTTTGTCAAAATGGCGGCTTCAAAACATGTGGCTCTGTCATTCGCTTTTAGCTTGGGAAAACCAGGCAAGCTTTCCACTTCTCAATAGTTAACAAGCATGCCTGCCAACTCTGGAAAATGCGAGCTGAGACAGAGAAGACACTGGCAAGTAACGACAGGAGCAGCAAGGCTGAATAGTAATCAGTCCAGTCAGGGAAAGAAATCTGGGCCTTACGAAAGACTCCTTTCTCTTCCTTCTAAGACAACCTTGTATTGTTGGGTGCCGTCAAGTCAATTCCAACACACAGCAACCCCATGTGACAGAGCAGAACCGCCCCACAGGGTTTTCTAGGCTGTAATCTTTATGTGAGCAGATCACTAGGCCTTTTCTCCTGGGGAGTTGCTGGTGGGTTCAAATTGACAACCTTTCAGTTAGCAGCCAAGTGCTTAACCACTGCACTGGCTAGGGCTCCTTAGGCCAACCTTGCTGTTGTGTGCCATAGAGTTGATTCCGACTCATAGTGACCCTTGCACTATGCTAGATAGACTAGGTGACGTAGTTAAAAAAAACTGACCTGTTGCCTACAAATCTTTCTCCTGTACTGCCTGAAATTCTACTAACTGAAAATTCCTTTGTGCTAATAAGGAAACTCCTGGGAGTGACTGTGCAGGAAAAAAGAAGGCACAAAAGGGCAGCCTGAGAAGACTGAATGGCTAGTTTTACCTCCTCTGCCTTAAGTGATAGTAAGTGAAAGGTTGGGATTTCACAGACAAGCCATTAATGACTAATAACCCTTATTGGTTATGGGGTTATAGTGTCAGGGAAGTTCTGCATTTCATTATGGATTCATTTAATCAGATTGATTTAATCCTAACAGAGAAGTTCCCCAAGTTTTATAAAGAGGAACTCCCTTTTGCTTATCTTACCCAGAGAGTTTACAGTAGGACAACAGATTCCTAGTACAAATCTAAGTATTCAGGACAAGGTCAAGGTAAAAGGAGCCTGGAACAATGACAGCTGCATTTCTCTCTTAGCAGAAACTCAATGTATGTACATGTATTTTTACTAAAATGCTATTTACATCCACATACATAAACACATTATAATAACAAGAGTTACCATAAATTAAGCATATACTAAACATATATACATATATATACTAAAGTATGTTTCCATCACCTGTCAGTTGTTGTACTCTGGTGGTTTGCATTTTGCTATGATGCTGGAAGCTACAGAACCAACATTTCAAATACCAGCAGGGTCGCCCATGGTGTGGACAGGTTTCAACAGAACTTCCAGACTAAGACAGACTAGAAAAAAGGACCTATCTATTTCCAAAAATTTACAATGAAGATCCTGTGGATTACAAAAGAATATTGTCTACTATGGTGCTGGAGGATGGGCCCCCTAGGTTGATCAGTGGTCAAAGAAATGGACTTGAGCAAGCCAATGACAGTGAGGATGGTGCAAGATTGGGCAACATTTTCTTTGGTTGTACATGGGGTCTTCATGAGTCAGAGGCAACTCGACAGAAACTAACAACAACAAAAATATGTTTACAGGCCAATTTTCAAAATATTTCAAACAATCAAAACGCCCATGTTTTTGTATAGTCCTTTTCTAAATACCAAGATGTAAAGATGTATGACCTTTTAGCGTTAACAACTACAGAAAGGAAAATTATTGTTTAAAGTATAAAATGTTAACGGATGAACTTCTGAAGTATTGTGTGGTCTATAAGCTTTTAAACGTACATCCATAAAATTTAGCACATGGGAAGAGGACGAGGGGCCTATCATTCCCAGTAGCACAACTAAATGCGTGTATACTATAGAGATCTGTGACACAAAAATTAACTTTCTATTCCTATCCTCAGGTCTATAAACTTCATTAAAGATCTCCCAAGATTTTTAAAAATCAGAAGTCAAACATATTTGTGTGTATTTGGAAGGACAGGAAAATAATTCATGAACCAGTTAAACTAATTCCTTGATAATTGTTGAATAAGCATAACTGACATCAAAGATGTATTAAAAAATACATGTACACATCTTTAGAAATATAAAATAAAGCAGTATTTCACTGAATAATTTCTTTGTAATGAGATATAAGGTGTTGTGTTCCCCTCCCCCCAAAAATAAACTGCTTTAAAACTACTCCATTCTTTGGAATAAATCCTACTTGAACAATTTTTATGAATTAGGAATGAAGTTTCTGCTTCCCACTGAGTAAGAAATTATGCACAAACTGTATACTTACTTGTATTACTACGCTTTCATGTAACATTTGTAACAACAATCCTACTTATCACAGCAAAGAAATCTCTATTCTAATGAATAGAGCACATTTAAGTACTAGCTCAAGTTATCATAATTTTAGGGAGTAATATATATTTTAAAATTAACTTAATAATAAAAATATTTAACCTAATATATGTATAGGTTTATAAGTCCTAACGCAACAATCCACCACACCTCTGTCAGTTTGTCATACTGTGGTGGCTTGCATTTGCTGTGATGCTGGAAGCTATGCCACTGATATTTCAAATAGCAGCAGGGTCACCTGTGGTGGACAGGTTTCAGCTGAGCTTCCAGACTAAGACAGGCTAGGAAGAATGACCTGGCGGTTTACTTCTGAAAAAATCGGTCAGTGAAATCATTATAAATAGCAGCCGAACACTGTCAGATATACTGCCAGAACATGGGCCCCTCAGGTTGGCAGGCACTCAAAATAGGACTGGAGAAGAGCTGCCTCCTCAAAGTAGGGTCAACCTTAATGACATGTAGGGAGTAAATCTTTCAGGACCTTCATTTACTGCTGCAGCATGACTCAACATGAGAAGAAACAGCTGCAAACATCCATTAATAGTTAAAATGTGGAATGTACGAAGTAAGAATCTAGGAAAATTGGAAGTCATCAAAAAAGAAACAGAATGTAAAAAGATTGATATCCTTGGCATCAGTCAGCTGAAATGGACTGATATTGGCCATTTTCAATCAGACAATCATATTGTCTACTATGCCAGGAATGACAAATTGAAGAGGAATGGTGTCACGTTCATCATCAAAAAGAACATTTCAGGATCTATCCTAAAGTACAACGCTGTCAGTGTTAGGATAACACCCATACGCCTACAAGGAAGACCAGTTAATACAACTATTATTCAGATTCATGGACCAACCACTAATGCCAAAGGAGAGGAAATTGAAGATTATTAACAATTTATGCAGTCTGAAATTAATCAAACAAGCAAAGAAGAGGCATTAATAATTACTGATGATTGGAATGTGACACTTGGAAACAAAGAAGGATATATAGTTGGAAAATATAGCCGTGGGGACAGAAACAATGCTGGAGATCACATGATAGAATTCTGCAAGACCAATGACTTCTTCATTGCAAATACCTTTTTTCAACAATGTAACCTGCAACTATACATGTGGACATACTGGCTGGAAAACAGGAATCAAATCGACTATGTCTATGGAAAGAGTCAATGAAACATCATCAGAATATCAATATCACCAGTCAGGACAAAACCAGGTGACGACTGCAGAACAGACCATCAATTGCTTATATGCAAGTTGAAGCTAAAGTTGAAGAAAATTAAAACAAGTCAACGAGAACCAAAATATGATCTTGAGTATATCCCACCTATATCCGGAGACCATCTCAAGAAGAGATTTGATGCACTGAAAATTAATCACCGAAGACCAGACGAGTTCTGGGATGACATCAAGAATATCATATATGAA